AGGAGCATACCTTTGCCCTTGCGATTCTTCCGGTCCTCTTCGGACTCGGGTTCTTCTGCCTCCAACTCGTCGTTTTCGTCGGAACCGTCAGAGGGAGGGCCGCGTTTGCCTTGAGAGCTGCGCAAACGACCTTTCTCCTTCTTCGGGGTTATGGAGGTTGAACCGAAGTCGATTTCGCTGAGTTCACCGTCGTCAGAAGGGGCCTGGTGAATGTCCGACAGGGAGGGTTTTTCCAAGAACTTGTTGATTGAGCCGCTCAGAGAAGGGTTATGGTGGGAGACTTGTTTCTGATTCTTGAAAATGCTCGTTGGGAAACCCCGAACGATTTTCAAGAAGGAAGGGGCCAAATCCTAACGAAACAAAGAAAACAGCGTTAGCGAGGGGAAGGAAAAGCAGAACGGGGCGTACGAACCTTGATAGCTGCGTGCTCGAGTGTCATGTTCGGCCAGTCATAGTGAAGTCGAGTGGGAGGAAAGGAATCCCGGACTTGGATGGCTAATTCGACGAGCAAAACGATGTCTTTCGTGGCGTAGGTGGGCTCGCTTTTGGACAAGCAGGCGGTGCGAGAGAAGATGTAACGCTGGGAAACGATAAGTGTAATGGTCAATGGAGGGGAGAGGACAGCGTACGAAGTGGAAGAGAGTTTTGTCGAAGGCGTTGGCCATATCTTCGGCCGGAATTACGTTCGTACGGAAAACGCGGGGGTCGTCACCAGTAGCGTGTCGAAGATAGCGCAGGAAGAGGGCACCCTCAGGGTCAGCGAAGGCCGCCCACAAGGGGTTGTTGGAGTCCGGATATACTAAGTCGGGGCCGGAGGAGGAAGGGCCAGGGGTTGAAGCCTCAGTCTTCTTGGGAGCGGTAGTGAGTTTACGAGGGGGAGGGCGACGAGCAGCCATGGAGGAAGGAAGAGAGGAAGAAAAGAAAACTAAAGGAGTAGAAAAACCACGGGCCGCCTTATATGGTCGACGCGCAGTTGAAGAAAAAGAACGCGGAGGAAGAAAACGTGACTGTAATGAAGCTTCTGAAGCTTAATTTTGAATGCCGAACCGGACTTGGGGAAAATTAGCTCAAGGACACTGCCGCGGAAAAACACGAGCTCTATTCAGTCGTGTCGACGTTGTTTGGAAAAGACGATTGGAAAATGATGGTTCCCCGGACACGCAGGGTCGAGCCACTGTGAGACTAAACGGAAGCAATTCATTGTTCGAGCGAGAATCAGGGATCTGCGGAAACGCCTTTGCTTGGCAGGCATGAGGTTGTGACGTGAGAAGCAAAATTTGGTTCCGTTACGAGAACGAAACAGTTCCCGTTCCGAACAACAGAACAGAGGAGAGTGATGGGCTAGAAGGAACAAGCGATGTAGCCGAACGCGAGTATTGCCAAAGCGACTGGGGACAGTCGGGATTTAAAAATGGGGGAGATGATAAGCCGCATTTTGGAACACACATAGAAAACCACTATTTTTGTTCGTTTCATGGGTACAGCGCACGTCTAGGAACTGGCATGAGTCCCGAATGGCCAGTTAGGGAGATATCTGCGAAGAGGCGTTTCGGTTCGACCGTTGTTGATAGCAACTGGCCGTTCAGAACGACTCTTACAACAACCAAAAACAACAGCAGAGCCCAACCAACATAGAGGATCTATCCAATCCTTTATATATACCAAAAAGGGAGTGTAAACTAAAAGGCATATTCGGTCTGGCATGCGCTGGGACTCGAACTCAGAACGCTCCAACGACGGTTCAACCAGGCTTGAACGGATCAGTCCCTGACAGCATTGGAACGCGGTTTGGAACTTACGCAAGGACAAGGACATGTGGAGGTGCGGTTAAACGGGAAGCATGACTCAGTGGAAACGAGGGCTTGGCTGCAGATCGTGGCGACCTTAACCCGTAACCGTCCAACCGAGCAACTTCGACAATAGATTGCGATTATCTCGTTAAGAGATTTGCCTAACGGTGTCTGGCGGTTAACCTCAAGTCATGGGTATCGATGGAAAGCTAGGAAGTGGAGCAACACGACGATAACAACAACGGTTAGCGGACCGTTCACAAAAACGCATAGACGGTCGCAATAAAGGAGGATTTACAAAGGTCATTGACACCAAACACGCGCTACCGGTCATCTAGACCTGGATTTTCGACTCTGGGCCTTATGGCGAAACGATACCTTACAAATTATGCACATGGACCATCATTCTGTTGTGGCGATTTACCTGATCTTATCATTTTCTGTTTTAGTATTTATATCTCTGTCCTGTACTTGAGCGATTCACGGATTGCCCCGCGTTACTAGGTGCATCTGGGGATCTAGCTTGTCAATATTATCCTGCTAGCTCTTTCATTCAAGTAAAAAGGCGTTGTGATCAAAGAGTTGAGGGTTCCGGTTGCCGTATAAAAGAGTTTCGGTTGGCGTACACTTGGTTTCGGTTGGCGGTCGAGAGTTTAAGGCAGTTAGTTCCTGACTTGAGACGACTCCTTGGGTTTAAGGCAGTTAGTTCCTGATCCAAACGAGTATAAACGGTTCTGGGCATCGTATTGGCGCTTTCCTATTGCTGGATTTCGTCGATAGTACGCTTAAGGACGACCACAAAACAAATCTTTAACAAGATTTCATTCGATCTACCCTACAACCTTGCACACCCGTGTACAGGCTCTGTTCCCAGGGTTCTGCACTCGTATTAGGAGACGGTTATTGGTGGTTGTTGGACGTTTTGGAACGGTGTTATACGGTTATCGCTCAGACAGAACGACTATTTGTTGTTTTGTTGTTGAGTTTTAGTTGTGTAGTGTCGGTCACATCTCCGGTCTCCCCACCCGTCATCCACCCTCATCAACGGGCGCTAGCGCTAGCGGCGGCCGAGCGCCTGGTGAAGGTCGGCATTCGGCGTACAGCTAGCATGTGAATGCGGGAAGCAAAAAAGTTGATGACGTGTCAGGTGTGACGGACTATCTGTGCAGTCGAGACTCTGATGGCCCATCAGTGACTATATAATAAGTGTGCGATAAGTATTTCCGCATTCGAAGGGATCCCGGATGACCGAGTAGAAACCATTTGAATACTGAAACACCGCGGATGTCTTGAACAACAGTGCGTGTACTCACGGGACAACTTTCAAAAATTGGATATACTCTTGAAAAGTGTTTTTGAGGCCATCTGGGACCCTTTTCTTACCATATCGGGTAATATATTCCCATGATCGCCGATCATGTGACCTGTTGATGCGATCAAAGTGCCTATCACACCGAAAAAAGTAAAATATCAGGTGGTACTGAAACGCGCACAGATATTACGGATCAAACCAGCCCGGAGCTGAACCACTCCAATCGGGTAGGCTCTGGTTTGATCCGACGTTTCTGTGCGGATTTCAGTGCGAGCTGATATTTTGCCTTTGCCGGTGTGATATATATATAATACACATTTTGAGTTACATTCAGTAAACTCCTCTTACTTATGAGTAACATATGGGTCTTGAGGCCTGACTACATAGTAGAATGCTGCTAAGTACAGAATAGCACACAGGTGCCTAATGACTGTCTTAAATATCTGTTCTACTATCATCTACATACTGTAGTATTTCACTCAGTTTGCATGTCACACGTCAGACTTGCCATAAAATTCAATTTTTTTTACATATCACATCATTTTGCTCAAATTAGTGTTTCCACACGGCAATTTCTGACATTTCCAGGCGCCTCTGGTGCCAAGAACTTCCTAATTAGGCAGTAATTCAAATTCAAATTTTCGTCATTGAAATTGAGTAAAATACTAAATTTTATTCAGTCTTTTAAGCAACATCCTAAACAAATACCAAAAGGACTCAGTTAAGCATCTGGTTGCAGATCTACCAAAATTTGAAGTTTCAGTCACTCCATTGAAGTTTAAGTCACTCCTTCAAATTTTGGTAGATCTTGCACAAGATGCTTAAATGAGACCTTTTGGTATTTGTTGAGGATGTTGCTTAAAAGACCCACAAAGTTCATGCTTAAACAGATGTTTAAACCCAAGGGTACCGCGCAAAAAAAATCCAAGACATCAGGTCGAAAAAGTGAATTAAGCACCAGCCAGCCCTCCCTACCCTATTGACATAAGCATGACTAAGCCATGTGACTTCCCAAAAAGGAAATTATTTGTCATCAGTGTCTGTACAGAATACAGCATTAGGCTCATTGGATTCTATGTCAGGGCCATTTAAGACAGGGAAGGAATGAAGAAAATGTAAATGACATGCTTACATATCATTGTTTAGCACTGTACTTATCATTAAACTCTCCCAATTGGGATATAAGCCCCTCAAACATTCCATATTCTTTGGCAACAAGTCCTAAAAACATAAAACTGTGCATTTCTTGTCCTCCTGGATACCCATAAACCTTCCCCAGACACTAGTCCAAAAAGTGAAATTCCACCCCAGTGACCCACCCTACCCTATGTGACATGTGTGACTTGATGTCACCAGCTGATGATCTGCGGTACCCTTGTTTAAACCAGTGATTTAGGGAATAACTCTAGGACAAGCTTAAAGCCAAGCTGACATGATTGTAGGAAGCACTTCAACGAGTTAATAAGCAGCATTCTAAGCAGGCCCTAAACTTCCATATTGGTGTGTGAGTGGGCGGCGACGCGGCGTCATGTGGGCTGATTGTCGCTGTCGCGTCGCAGGAAGCCGGGGCCGTTTCGTCGCAGGTCGGCGGCGTTTAGGCTTTAGGAGTGGCAGGGTCGCCGGCGACGTCGACGATGATGATGGTCGCGATGTCGTGTCCGACGTGTCGTCAGTCGAGGGAGCACAGGGCTGGCGCTTCGACGCCTGGCGCAGAGCCGCGTTGGAACTTGGCCCCTGCGACGCCCGCGGCAGCGCCCGTGATTTACGCACAGGGTCGCGATAGCCCAGGGCGGGCCGATCTCCCGAACACGTCGCACGTCATGACGGCGATCACGATCACGGCGTCGCGACGGGGCTGACAGGCAGCGCATGGACAGGCTCCACCGCCACCTTATGGCCCTGCCCTTCGCTTCCTTCCCTCCCGCCACCACAGTTATCTTCTTCGCCTCCCTTTCGTTCGCCCCGCCCCCTTTCTTCCTCCTGCGTCCCGGCTAGCCGACGCCCCCACGCCCACTGGCACACGCCCTAGCAACCACCCGACTCCGATGCGCCCGCTGCTGACGCTCACCCCCTTCGACGCCGCGCACGCACTCGTCACCTCGCCCTTCTTCTCCCCGCCCATCCTCGCGGCCGTGCGCCTCGCCTTCGCGGCCTACGCGCTCGTGACGCTCGTCGTAAGCATCGTCTGGGGCGCGGTCGTGCAGCACGATGCCGCCGGGTGCGTCCTCTACCCTTATATTGATAAAGGAGTAGTGCTGATAAGAGCGACAGCTTCTTCTCGTACTTCACGCACCTGACCTACACTGGCTTGTGTGCGTACTTCTTCGCCGCGGGCGTGCAGACGGCGCTCTTCGCAAGGCGGGGGAAGGGGTATCCGCTGCAGGGCTGGCCCCGCGCGCTGCGGTTCCTGCATCTGGCCCTGCTCGCGACCGTCACGGTCTTCCGTGCGTGCTGCCATCTCCGTGTTGCTGATGCTGATGATGGGGACAGCCCTGCTCGTGTCCGTCGTCTTCTGGGGCGTGCTCGCGGACAAGGACACGTTTGCGACGCGCTACGACGGTGCGTCGCCCTTCTCTCTTCCCTTCCCGTGGCTGATGGTGCCGCCCAGCGTGGTCCGCGATCAGCGTGCATCTCCTCAACTCCGTCTTCGCGCTCTTCGAGATCGCGCTGACCAACACGCCCGCGCCCGCGTGGGTCCTCCTGCCCGTCACGCTGCTCGTCCTCGGCGGGTACGTCGGCGTCGTGTACGTCACGCACGCGACGCAGGGGTTTTATGGTGCGTGGTCTGCCTTTCCTTCCCTTCCTATTTCCATCTCCGATCAAGCTGACACACAACCAGCCTACTCCTTCATGGCGCCCAACTCCCGCCTCGCGCTGCACATGGCCGGCGTCGCGCTCGCGCAGGTCGTGCTCTACGTCGTTGTGTGGTGTCTCGTGAGCCTGCGCGTGTGGCTCGTGCGGCGGTACATGACGCGCCCGCGCGGAATCGAGGCGGGCCCGGGGTCGGAGACGTCGCTGGGCAACTTGAAGGAGGCGGTGTAGAGAAAAGGAGCGATGCATGGACTTTTGACTTTTGATGTGGACATGGACACGACCGTGACGTGGTATTGTAGTTCTGTGGCTTCGAGTATATACTGCTAATTTCCTAATGCGCGCGGGCGCTCTGCTGGTGCGCTGGCAGCGCTGCTCGGGTCCCAGCGCCTTTGGTTTGAAATTTTTTCTTTTGATTTGATAATGCTATGTTTCCTTGGCCGGACTACACGGTACACCAACTTGTGGTCTAATTACTGGAGTAATTGGAGAAGTGCCCAATGTCTAACCTGCCCAAGCACCAGTCCTATTGCCTCTGTCTTCATTGGATGTTGCGCTCAGTCCCAACAGGGTACTGGCATAGAGCACATACAGTTGATTTCTATGTGACCAGAAGCCTACTGTGTGGTGGCCCCTGTGTTCTGTTCAATATATATTGGGGCTGTGTTGTGATTGGTATTGATATATTTTAGACAATTATTCTATTTTATATAATCATATGCCAGTGGAATGTCGGTGGGAGGTATTTCCAGTCTGACAGGAGTCCCAACTGCATGGCACTGGCCTGTTGGCACAGGCATGGGCTATAGATGTGTATGTATGAACCGCACTTGTTTTTCTGCTTGGGTTAATGTGCAACACTGGACACTGTCACACAAAGTGGTACACAGTGCATCTCAGTCAAGACTTCCAGCTTCACAGGATATAAACACTATGAGGACAAGAGTAGAACCAGTTCTGGTTAGTGTACAAGCTGATTTTGTACAAAGTTCATAAGTTTGGGGCTGACATAGAAGTTGCTAGAATTATAATATATTATGCTGGAGCCACAATAATTAATATAATAATAATATAATATAATATGGAATAATATAATATTTGTTCTGTCCTCTAGGCATAATATAATGGTAATAACAATAATAATAATAATATGACATATACTGTCCCATTTTGATCAACTGTCCGGGGCATGTAACACATAACGCAAGCTGTCCGCCAGACAACATGTCCGGATTACTATAAAAGGCAACTCCAGGCCGGAACAAAAAAAATTACCTTTTTAAACCTGTTTTTGATTGGAATCCGGCCCCGAACGCATAACGGAGGCCACAGGTGTCCGCGCTGCGACCGCCTGTAACGCGTAACGCGGACGGTAAATTGAAATGGGACAGTAAGTTAGGGAATGGCATGGGTAAACCCCTGGGTATCAGAGGCCCTACTCATACCTGTACCTGCACGGCCACCATACCCATACCTATGAGTATGGGTATGCATGGGTATGTGTAAACCCATGAGTAAACAGTTGTATTTGTATATAACATGATAGTAGTAGTAGTACTTTGATTGGTTAAGACTACGAGTAATGTGAACTTGCTATAAATGCACTTGAAAGTTTATTGAATACATAGTTTAAAAGAGATTACATAAAATAACTGCTTACTCATATTGCATGACTACATTGTGGGCCTGGGACTGCGAAGTAGGTCATTCAGATTCCCATGAGCTTTCCACTCATTTCCGTTGTTGCGCTTACTTTTATGCGGAGAAGACATCTGTCTCAATTTGGTAAGCTCGTGTTGGAGCTCATTGATCCTCCAATCCTTTTCGGAGGCCAGTGTCCAGCCGGACATATTGGTGCCAGGCTTATCACTGCCTAATGAGCCGTAGTGAGGCACTTATCAAATGTATTACAGGGAGGGGTGGCCTAATGACATAGAGACAGGTTTAAACCGTGCCGTGCAGTGACACGCAGCAGGCTTTTCTGCAGGGATTTCAATTGGAATATCATCTATGAAGAAGTCTGGGTGGATAGTAAGACATTCTGTCTTTACAATTCCAGTATCCTGCTAACGCTTAATCTCAGCGAAGTTGGCAAGCAGCGCAGCTTGAGCCTCAAGCTCTTGCAAGTCCAAGCTATACAACTTGATACAAGTCAGGGATGTCCCCAAAGTTGCAGGGATCAATTCCCTTGCCCTTGTTCTTGAATGTGCCTTTACCTGACAGATGGCCAAGCTGAAAGTCAATTGGTCAGCGGGGGGACACAGGGGCATCAAAGTAGGTGGGGCCACCTTGTGCTGGGGCGACAGCATTGGTTCATAATGACTTGTGCTGTTGCATCAAGGGACCTTCTGACTATTAAGTGCTTAATCACCCTGAGCTCAGAGCTCGCCCCCTTAAGCCGCATCTTCAGTCCACCTTAGAGGGTATAGGTGCCAAAGCCCTTATGGCCTTAGGGTGAACACTAAATGATTCACTTCACACACTGTAAATATAGAAATTTAGGGTCTGCTTAAAATGTTACCTAATTGACTTGTTGAAGTGCTCTTACAATGCTAGCTTACAAGACTGTTTTAAGTTTTTCCTCAAGTTATTCCCTAAACCACTAGTTTAAACATCTGTTTAAGCATGGACTTTATTGAGTCTTTTCAGCAACATCCTGAACAAATACTGAAGGGACTCAATCAAGCATCTTGTTGAGGATCCACCAAAAATTGAATGTTAAGTCACTCCATTGAAGTTTAAGTCACATCTTTAATTTTTGGTAGATCTTCAACAAGATGCTTAAATGAGTCCTTTTAGTATGGCGGTCAAAGTGGGGAAGTAATAAATTTCCACACACTTTGTGATAATTTGAGTTTTCAGCAACATTTCAAAGAAAAAACTATTTTCTGCAACTTTTTTTTTCTGAATTGAACAGAAAGCTGCGGATCACAGCCATTCCCAAAAGCCGCGAAATATTTTGAGAGTACATAATTTCCGCAACTTTAAGTTTTTTTTACAATATTGATCAATCCGCAACATTATCTTTAATACCTATCTACTATGTGCTTCAAGTTCCCGCTGCCAGGCACGGCCTGTCCCGATTTGGCGCGGGTCCGGACCCGGACATACGCGCACTGCCTCTGCCGTCGGAGGGTTGACCATCGAGTCATCGTCCTGTGGGCCACTGCTAATAGCACCACCACCCTAGGCAAATCCACGGCCTGCCCCACCGACCCCCGGCGTTCGCAACGGAGCCGGGAGCACCAGGTATACCCTGTTCTTTCCAAAAGATGTTGGCTACTGCCACACCCTGTAATGCAAAAGATGTTGGGAACAGCTAGGCTGTAAACTAAAAATCAATTTTTATAGGGTTAAATAGATAGATATGACTAATATAATACCATATATAGTAAGCTAATCACCTTTTCTTCAGGCCGATGATGTGGATAAACATTAGGACAAGGCTGTAATACAGAATAATGAAATTGATGGAATGATATGTCACATCTGATGTAACACCATAGATCCATCAAAACCATTGATCTTCATCAAAAAATGCTTCCACATGGCAAGACATATCTAGATGCCATCAATCCCATCATGATCCAAGGCCCAGACAGCTCAAATAAATTAAAAAGTCGAAAAATATTAGAATAAATCTGAATTTCTAGCCCTTGCCAACATCTTTTGCATTACACTGTATGGCAGTAGCCAACATCTTTTGCATAGAACTAGCTATATCAGCTGCCGGGAGCCCGCGTGGCCTGCGAGTCGGCAGGGACATGGGTTATACATGCCTGCTGCAGCGAGTACTGCGACAGCAGCCCTGTGAGGACAGCTAGGCAATGGCACGGGTAAGGCCTACCCGTGCAGGTACACAGGTTTTACCCGCGCGGGTACGGGTATAGATTGCAAATTTCTAATCCACCGACCCATGGCTAGATCAGATATGATATGACATGTGGAAATCACTCACCGCGTGCAATTGCTGATTCCATCTTGGCTCTTGCTTAAAGTGTCAGCAGTTGGTGGGTGCCAAGGCAGAAAATTGACTTGAACTAGTCATTTGGGGTTAAGAAGTGACAATACCCATGGGTAAAATCCATACCCATACCCATAACTACTCATACCCATACCCATGGGTATGGGTATGGTGGCTGTGCAGGTATGAGTATGAGTAAGGCTCTGGATACCCAGGGGTTTACTCGCGCCATTGCCTAAGGACAGCCGAGGCCGCTGCCCGAGGCCGCTGCCCGGGTTGATGTCCATATGGAACAACCTGCCCACGGCGAGCGCTGCTTGCCAAAGGAGTCGCCGGCGAAGGAAAATGTTGTGCCTGCTGTTGCGGCAAGTGTGGTGGGAAATGTACTTATGTTGCGGAAAAGTTGTGAAGCTTGAGATTTGTGACGAGTTTTGACACATGGCTGTGATCCGCAACTTTTTGTCAAGTTTAGAAAATAAAGCTGCGGAAATTAGTTTTTTGCTCAAAATGTTGCAGAAAACTTAAATTTTCACAAAGTGTGTGGACATTTATTACTTCCCCACTTTGACCGCCATACTTTTAGTATTTGTAGAGGATGTTGCTTAAAAAAGTCGATAAATCCCATGCTTGAACAGATGTTTAAACCAGTGCTTTAGGGAATAACTTTAGGAAAAACTTACAACACAGTGTCAACACTCTCGTAAGCTAACATCGTAAGAAGCACTTCAACAAGTTACTTAAGTAACATTTTAAGCAAACCCGAAATTTCCATATTTACAGTGTGTCATACACTGCTCATAGATACAAATCTACAGCTCACTCTGCCAGACAATGAGCCCGACGCGGTGAGCCGTACGCAAAACCTGCATCGCGCGCGCCGGCGGGAAGAGGCACCCCGCAGCTTGGAGCGCGAACCAGTCCGCGTTGCCGCACCGGATCAGGTCCGTCCAGATGTCCTGATCCGCGGAAGGCGCGAGGTTCATTGCGCGCCGCACCGCCTGGATTTCCTCGCACAGCGGGCCGTGTGCCCGGGTGGCACGGCGCTGGCACTGCCGGGTCACTATCAGCGGGATTAGTCAAGACGGTTATTGGACGTACGCTGGAGCTGCAGAAGCTCGCGCCGAAGCAGCCGCCACACACGCGCCGCCCGCCGGGAACGAGGACGGGCCCGGGAGGACCGCCGCGGGCCGTATGCGGCTTCAAAAGCGCGCACTCAAGGTTCATGCACTGCGCGCGGTACATGCGGTGGATGACAGAGTACATCTCTTTAATGGGGTCGAACGCCGGGGCCGGGAGCTGGATGTCCTCGGTGGTGGGGATGGGCGTCGCCATAAGTATTGGTTAAGTGGAGATGTGAAGGTAGGCACTGGTTTGGTAGCGTTCGACCCTACGAAAGGCGCTTTTATACACAGGGCTTAAGCCAAACAAAGCGCGGGGAGCGCTTTGGCGGTGCTTTGTTCGCCTGTCATTCTGGCACAAAGATACGCTTTGACCAATCACACTTGGCTGATTTAGGCAATTCCCCCTCGGGAAAGTTTCTTATTGGATAAAAGCAAGAGTAATCGCACATTTTTCTACCTATTTTTGTGTGATATAAGTAAATGGTAGCTTTGGATGCAATATATATATGTCCTTTTGTCTAATCAAAATATCAATACACAGGATGCCTTTGGGAAAGTTATAAGGTGCTTCCATAGGTTCAATTACGATTAATCGTGCGAGAGGGAGAGATTCTTATATTAAGTGATGATTTCGATGTGGACATAGGAAGAACAAGTAAGCTAGGTCAGGTAAACTAGTTCTAAGGCAAACGAGCAGTCAGATAACCAAAACCTGGCCAAAATTCGGTCTAAATCGCCCTCCCGAACTTGTGCAGCTCCCGCTGCACGCCCTCGAGCATCTTGAGCCTTTGCGCTAGCTCCGTACGGCGCACCACCACCGCCTGGTCCTCCATCAAATACCGCGCACACTGCGCTTTCGTCTCGTCCTTCTCCAAATCAAGGAACCGCCGGATCAGGTTCGCCTGCAGCCCGCTCGCGAAACTCTTCACGAACTTGGTGTCGATAATGCCCGGGATATTATCGATCACGCGCTGGCCACGCAAACAAATATTAGCTTCTTTCGGAAAAAAGGCGTTCAGACACACCTTGTACGACACCTGGAAATACGCCCTGACCCCGCCCATGAGCACGATCTCCGCCTCGTACTCGTCGGCAGGGCGCAACTTCCCGAGGTCCGCCTCCGTCAGGCCCGTGTACCCGAGCTTTGCCAGCGCAGCTAGCGCCGTCTGCAGCTCCTCCCGGTCGGCGGGGGCCGACCCTCCACCGAATCCGGCACCAATACTGGTCAGGGGCGGCGACGGGGCAGAGACCTGGATGTCGGAGAAGGGGTGCGGCATCGGGGAGAATGCGAGCGGCGCTGGATTCGCGGTGGCCGTTACTGTTGCTGTAACCGCTGCGGGCGATTGTGCTTGTGCTGGTGCTGGTGCCGATCCGGATGGGACAGGACGACCAAAGCTAAATGGCGGAGGAGAGGCCCGGGCTGCAGTCGCAGTCGCTGTTGCTGGCGGCGGGCCAGCTCCCTTGGGAGTGCCGAAAACAGACAGTGAAGGCCCAGATGGAGCCGGACTAGGCTTACCAAATACACCGAATGGACTCTGCGTCTGCATAGGAGGGAAGGCACCAGAGAATGGCAGCTTGGGCTTTTCTGGGAAATCAAGTCAACACATGAATTCGTTTTACAACGAGGACTCACCGTCAGGACCATTAAGTACCGACGCAGGACTAAAGTTTGGCGTGAACGCGTTCGCCGTCGCCTTCAACTTGGCTGCATTGACTTGATCAACACTGCCCAACCTTTGACATTCAGAATGCACATACCAGTAGCAGCATCAATATCATGTCGCAACTTTGCGCGCTTCGCATCCGGCCCCGCCTCCGCCTTGGGGGGCCGCTTTCCCGCGCGCTGGTCGCGGTAGCGCGCGACCCACTTCTCCGTCGTCGCCTGCAGGTAGTGGTCGTTCTGCGTCATTGGCTCCGTCTCCATCTCGAGCAGTGCCTCAAGGTATTTCATGCACTCGTCCGCGTGCATCTCCAGCAGCTGCCCCAACTCGAACTTGAGGTCGACCTTAAATGCCGCGAAACGCCCGAAGAACTCGGGCCGCTCAACAACACTGAGGAGCGCCTCTAGAAGATGGCCGCGCACAGACTCGAAACACTCGTCTTTTGCGGAGTTCCACGAGTCCTGGAAGTCGGCGATAAGCGCAGCTTTGGCTGCGGGTGGGACATCGCCAGGAAGCTCGCGAGCACGGGCACTGGATTTTGATTCAGAGGGAGAGAGAGCGAGAGCGAGACAGGATGGTGACAAACCGATTTAGGACCTTGCGAACATCAGACAAGTAGATGGGCGTGACGGTGTCGTCCTCGTCTGGTTGCTCTTCGTCCTCGTCGACAGCCACGTAGGGGTTCCGATCCGCTGCAGGATTGACGATGGCCACGAAGGCCGGTGCTGTCGAGCGAATAGCGCGCTTGAAGATGCCAAAGGCGCTGTTTACAAGGTCAGTCGGGCGGGAACGATGATTTCTGGGTAACATGCCGATTGTTTCGCTGCACTAAGATACTCGGCTCCGATGAGCCCCGCACGAATTGGCGCACGGTGGTGGAAAACTCTGAAAGCAGCATCAACAACCTTGTCGATGGGTCCTCTTTCGACGGCTTCGGAAGTTGCGCAATCGCGGTCCGGCAAGCGGCCAACTGCATCTGCGCAGTGTTCGCAATGTCAGGGAGTCTTTTCAAAAGCTTTCAGTCTGTCATCAATTTTAAGTAAAACGATAACCCACCTTTGCGCAATGATATCCGTCAACAGCGTGCTCAACGTTGCCACCAAGTTCTCCGTCCCGAATCTTCCCGGTTCGATGGTCGTCGACCACGGCGTAGTCTGAGAGAAAAATGTTGCCTCATTCTGGCGCGCATCCGCCGTCGTGCCGCCTCTTGCACGCTCGTCATCGTCGGGCTGGCGCGTGCAATAATACCCGTGATGCAATGTATGCTGCTCGCGCTTGCCTCTCGTGCGTCCTTCGATGATTTCGAGCCAGTCGGTGCGCTTGTTGGAGCCAGCGGAGACGACGTCGGGCTTGGTCAGGACGCCGATTGTCCGCAGGCCGGGTGGGTCACGGTCGCGTGCGAGGCGGAGAGCAATTTGGTTTTCAATGTCGTCTAAGCAAGGAGATAAGAGGAAGAAGGCGGAGAAATCAGGAACAGTCTTACCAGTCATGGGGATTGCGACAAGAATGAGACAGTTGCCGCTGATGGTCTCGACGACCATGTCTTCGACTAGTCGAACGACGTCAGCGGAAGCGTTCTGAATCAAGCCTGCAGCGCATAAGTTACATCACAGAGCAAGCGGAGAGCCATACCAGGCAGGTCGATGAATTGGAGGTCTGTCAGTTCGGGGCCTAAGTGCTCCTTATCAATATCAGACAAGGAAGATGAACGGGAAACGCACCTTCCAAGTCCACACAAACGACGTTCTTTGAAAATTTCACAAGTCCGGGCTCCATCATCGCCTGCTTCACTGCCTTCTCATCCATCCTCAGCGCCTCCGTCGCGGTAAGTGTTTCGTCCAGAACTAGGAGCTGCGCGCGACGCAACATGAGCTCCACTTTCTTGTCGTCGGTCAGTGGCGCGCCAAATCGTTCCTCGGAAACGTCCCCGCGCCGCTTCCCGCCCTTGTCGAACTCGCGCCGGATCGAAATCTGGCAGGACCACTTTGGGCCCGTGGCCATCCGGCACTCGATGGGGCTGCGCGTGCAGGTCCCCGAGTCGCGAGGGACCTTGATCTGGTCGCGGGTGAGTGCTTTGAAAGGGGGTGAAAGAAAGAGAGACATACGCCGGAGATGGCTTCGACGACGGACGATTTGCCTACGAGAACAAAGACAAAGACGATGAACAGGCGAAACTGGGCCAAGGAAGTATGACGCACCGGCGCTCTGGTTCCCAATAACCACAATCCGCGGAAGGTCGAGCTCCGCCTGCGCGCCTACAGCGCGCAGCTGGCTCATAAGCGCGAGGAGCTCCTTACGCTGCGCGGCATATTTCGTGTCAGAAAGCTGCACCGTTGCGGCGCCCCTGCATGAAAAAGCGTTGGTCAACAGTTTGGGCGGGAGAAATGGGCGGCGCACGGGGCGGACGTGGAGGCCATCGTGGTGAAAGACGAAGAAGAAAAAAAAGGGTGAGGTGATCCGTGATGCCGTCAATTTAAGGGGGAGGCTCTTACGTCACAACAGCACCGATTGGCTGCGCCCACGTGCACGATCTGCAACGTGGCATATCTTTACGTCTCTTGTCTTTCTCTCGCCATGTTCCCCAACGAGCTGTTCCACGAGATGCTCGGGGATCTTCTTGCGCAGGACCTCAAGTCGGTGGCGCTAGTCTCACGCCGGATGCGGCTGCTTGCGCGGCCGTTCCTGTACCGCAGGCTGCAGTTATGGCCTTATTCATTATACGTGGACGGCGCAAATATGGTCATGCAACGTCCTGATCCGGCGGAAACAGAGAGCTTCCTCGAAAAGCTGAATTTCTTCACCTCCGACGAGGTGGTGCAGCAGGTCCGGATCCTGCGCGTTGTCTGCGATGAATACGACGTCCGAAACGCGACATTTAGCAACGCTCCGATGACGCATGCTCTCCGCGACAGGCTGTTTGATCTCATAGGCGACTTCCCCCGCCTCCAGACCCTCAGAATGGACGGCCTCATCATCACCCCCACCGCACTGTTCCAAATGGGCTGCTTACCGGTCCTCACGCTGTCCCTCGTTGACTGCATACCCCCTTCCCAGCCCGAAATCGACTTTGCTATAGGCATGCGCCTCCAGAGGATCAGTCTCCGCGTCTCGAGCCTGTCGGTGTGGGAGTGCCAGTCCCGCCCCTCAGGGGATATGTGGATCTGGCTCCCCCTCTGTAACCCGAACATTCTCTGCTCAGTCGAGCTGCATTCCCAGGGGGGTACCACGGCCCGTACCTCCGTACCGTCACCAGCTATCTGCATATTCCCCAAAGTCTCAAAGCTCAAGTTATTCTTCCGGAGGGCTTGGGCACTCAGTAGCTGGAACTGGGCATTTTTCAAGGAGACCTTTCCACATGTGAGTTTACTGGACGTCCTCCAGGACACGGATCGCACATACCATTCCCCAAGGCTGGAGCTGCTTTCACTGGCTTCCCCGTCACAGCGCTTCTCAAAATTACAGGAAATGAGCACAGTCTGTGAGCTGCTGCCTGTCCTGCTGCCCGGCACTCCCGGCACTCCCCTCAGTGTGCTCCGCATCACTGAATCTGCAGCCATTGATGTGCTGTCTGCATTGCGAATTCTTGAGGTGCACATCCCAGACACAATTGGGCACCTCACCCTGGAGATGTCCGATGGCGATAGCACCGTATGGAGAGACATCCTGTCCTTCTTCCCAGCCATAGATGGGCTTCATATCACCATTAGGCTGTCTCAAGCAGACACTGCAAGCTGGAACAATGTTTGTCAATCTCTGTCCTTTCCTTACTAGACTTATAACTATGTCAGGTCCGGGATTTCCTGCTGGCCCTGCCATCAGTGTTATCCCCCAGCTTAATGGACCTGTTTCTGAAGATCAAGAACATTGATAATGCGGAGCCAGAACCAGTGGCCCCGTCTGGTACACCTACACCCGGGTCTTTGCAAGCCAATCTGCTTGATTATTGCATGGGCCTGAAGAGCATCATGGTGATGCTTCCATTTCTCAAACTCCACTGGGCCACTCTATCCCCAGATTACTGATGCCAACATGCAAATTGACTGTTCCACACTCTTACTCACCGACATAGACATGGTATTTTTTGTAAAAAAAAAAAAAAGATAATTAGAGAATGAAGTTTGTTTTTAAAAAAAAAACCAAATGATTACAACTGTTGTCCTGTTTACGTGCTATCTATCTCACATCATTCTTGGCATCTTAGATCAACATTTTTTTCCTTCTTTCAAGACCTTTCCCCTTTCAAGACCTTTCCCCTGCTTAGTATCTTGCTCCATAGATTCGCTCATTCTACATGAACAAGTATATATACACAATAAAGCCTGCATTGGCCCCAGAATGCTGTCGCCGCTGCTGCGTAGACTGCAATGTCTCGAGTACTTGAGAAATCCAGCCCATCGTGTAGCATATGCATCATCTGAGCATTAATCGGCGGTCGCGGCGCTTGTTTCGAGGAGTCAGGGGTGAGGTTTTCGACCCCCACGAGAACGTAGTGAAGTCGAGCTGTTCCTTTCCACTCGGCACCTTGTGCGATGTGCCAAGCTTTCAAAGCCGCGATGTTATTCCTCGCTGTCGAACCGGCATGAATACCGGCGCTGGAGGCAGCGAACGCGCAAAGCACAAATTCGTCCGCGGGCAATCGAAAGCGTTCGAGAATGAATTCCTGCTGGCAGAAAGCGAGGAAGCGGTTGACCGCGTGGCCGTAATTGGACAGGGTAGTACCTCGCCAGGCATGTTTTAGAACATGATTTACGTTGGTTACTGCATTGTCCGAGAGGCCCAACTCAGATAGGTTTTTGGGGTAGCGGTTGTGTGTAGGAAAGGGGTCAAATAAGCGAGCTTGTTTGGTAGTCTCGACTTTTGTGGTGTTTCCGGGTTTATGGTGGCTGGCGGGCATTACTGGTGTGGTGGTTGACGGCGCCATAATCGCCGCTGGGGAGATCTTGGGTGAGAAGTACCCTGGTGAGTGTCGAGGGTCCGTCGTACGCATGGCCAGAGCAGAGGAGTATTGATTGACAGCTTGTTACATAATGTAGTTACGCATATGATATAATGAAATTCCTGAGGCAGTGCGGAGTCGCGAATGAGGAAGGGGCCCGTGGTATGCCCTTGGGCGATAGCCCGCGGGAGGGTGCGTCCGCAACGTTGGCGGCAGATGGTACATATATACAAGTCACCCAAAAAGAGTGCTCGCGAAGAAGAGACACGATTCGCCGTAGAATACGGTTCTGTTCGCAGTTTCGCGATTTGCCGGCCGTCAGAGCACCGATAACGCCTTCGTTATCAGAACAGAGTTGGAAATGACACGAAGAGTGTCCTCGATGCGCCGCAAAGCGCAGTCCCAGCTCGATAGCGAGCATCTCTGCCCACCCAATACCACGCTGGTCAGATTCCCATCCCGGTGCCAACTTCCACCGTTGCCAGACACCGTTGAAGACGAGCCCAATACCCCATGACGTGGAGGCGTCGACGAAGAATTCGATTTGAGATACCATTGGGGGCATTACCAGAGCTGACCCGCAGAAACTGCGGGATAACGCTAAGCGCCACCACCCAAGGTCGGCGAGTACAGTTGCGTTTGGGGTGTGTCGAAGGAAAGGCGAAGCAGATTTGTGTATATATACTTGTTCATGTAGAATGAGCGAATCTATGGAGCAAGATGGAAGCACTGATTGAGCTTGCGATCATCAGTGCGCCGTCTTGCGATCAGAGGAGTGATGGTGGCGATGCTCTTCTGAGCATCTTGTCCTTAGACTGCCACCATCACACCAACAAAGACCTCACGACAAAAGCTTACCCACCCACCCACACCCGTAGCTAATAACTTTGCAGCAGTAGAGTGGAGCCTTGGTTCAGCCATGCACACCTTCGGCTCTGCGACCTGGGAAGATGCCCTAGATCAACATTTTTTTCCTTCTTTCAAGACCTTTCCCCTGCTTAGTATTTTCCCAATACTTTGGGAATTCTTCTGATTGTCAGGTCTGGGGACTTATGCTACCTTCATGCCCACCATAACACAGCCTTTGAGTATTCTTAGCCTTGGGTGACACTATGATTTGCCTGTATAAATATTGACTTTTGACTAACACCCTAAACTATCACACCGGGGCTTAAGCCAAATTAAGCAGAATTTATATATAAGAAATAGTAGTCCAAAACAAGAGCCTTTTTGCTGCTTTGATTTATATGCAATAACAGTTGCAAAAATTGTATCTGATTTACAAGAAATCAAGTACTCTATTGGGTTGTCAAATATAGTATATATTGTGACTATCCTCTACCTGACCATGTTTTTTAGACAATAAGTGCATGGGTGAGCAATCGGGGAGGAGGAGGATTGATCAGGGTTAACAACCCAGCTCGGCCCGATGCGCGTCGCCTCGCGGCGCGCGTCACCCCATTTCCCTTTCATCTCGCTTTCTCTTTGTTCACCACAGTATATATACACTTGCGGGTGTGACGGGAGACGTCGTCGTCTCACGCTGCGCTCGCAGGTCAGTCCCCCTCTACCTTACATGCCATAGTCGTCTCACGCTGCGCTCGCAGCTCACCTGCTCACTAGTTTTCTTGTTGTAATATCCAAGATATCAAAGAACCGCCTTCCCCGAGGTCCAGGCGGCCGTTTCGTATCAAAGAACCCTGTCCCGCCTGACCCTGAGCCACTCAGCACACCTATGTCGACCCCGGACGACCTAGAGCAACGTGTCTCGGATGTTACCACCCGGCTCGACCACTTGGCGACCCAGATCGCCCGACATGCCATCCAAGTCCGACCTGCAGTCGGAGATCGCAGCTGCGCTCAAAGCAGCACTTGCCGCTCATGCGGCGGCAACGCAATCCGTCCCGGCTCCGCCACCGGGACCCGCCGCATCGGCTTTCACACCCCCGATCGCGCCGCTCAACTCGGTCGCAGGTGCGTCACCCACTGCCCCCTCCCCCACCCTCGTTGCTCTCTTTCCCGACATCGAGCCGGCATGCATCACCTCCGTCATCACACACACACTCCGCGCGGCAGACCTGTACAAGCTTGACCTGCGAGTCAAGCAGCAAGATCCTGGCTGGCAAATCAACTCCGTGACTGGCGCCCTCGAGGCAAATGTCTCCAAACACCGGACTTACAAAACTCTCGAATCTGTGACTGTCCCCCTCCATAACTTCTTCGCCATCCTCTCTGTTCATATGACGACGACCCGGGCGGCAACAGCGTATTTCTTTCGCTATCTCACACACCTCAATATGCTCGCGACGGAGTACGAATGGGCAGCGGTACATGAATATCACACGCTGTTCTTCATAGTGGTCTGCTGGCTTTGGCTTCAGGCCAAAAAGCCATGGCTTTTTGGCTTTGGTACCAGGGCCAAAGCCAAGCCAGAAATCTTGGCCTGTGTTGGATTTGGCCTGGCTTAAGGGTTTAGAAAGCCAAAGCCAGGCCAAA